GCAAATTTTTTTTGATAAAACTTCATCATTTGGACCCAGCATCACCCTCCATGAGTTTCATCTGGGTCCCACACTCGGAAGTCGAGATTCAGCATACTGAAAAATCCTGGATACGTCACTGATCAAACTTCATTGTAAATAGTATGGATTATACATGATAAATGCTGGCTGATATTAATTTTGCTCCTTATAGAGAAAGTGTTCACGTCTCGATCTTGATCATACGATTAGAAATCCAGATCAAAATATTTAGTATGGAAATAGGCATATTTGATTTTAAAGAGTTTTATTAAATGCTATAACAATGAAAAAGATTCAACTAGCATAATTATATTATCAAGATAAATCTTGTCTATAAAATGCTGATTTATGGTCTATTATAAAAATGTTACAATGCAAAAAAAGCAGTGTAAGTGTAGATTTTTTTTTTGTTCTGAAGTTGCTGTTTTTTCACTTCTTATGGAATGCTTTTGAATCGTAAAGAGTATAATTTTCATCAACCGGCAACAAATATTATTACAAAATATTGTCATAGCTGAGTCTACAAAGAATAATCAGTTAAGGAAATTATCGAAATAAGAAAAAAAGAAAATTAATTATGCTATTCGAACTAGTATCCTGCACGAGTACGATTTTTCGCTACCGAGCTCGGACTGAACCAACACACACTTTCCCAGTCACAGTACAATATTCAAGCTTTTATTTTATACGAAAAATTATACTATTTAGTCTTTTCCGTAAATAACAACAACAAAAAAACAAGTGAATCAAGTGATTCGGAATTCACTTTGTGTCTTTCCGCTTCTATAATCCGATCAATTTCACTAAGTATGCGTTTGTCTGTTGTTGATGACGCTAGAATGGAACGTAGTGTTAGTGTCGTACGTCATAATTGTCTATACATGCATGAATGCTTTGTTCATTACCATAATATGTGTTCACCTATTTGATAATTGAGTTTCCTTTCCATGTATTCAATTACTTCATCTTAGTGTTCATTATCTTCTATAGATGAATTTTCATTAAAACCAAATTCTCCTAGTAAAACAATATCGTTTTGCACTTCTCTGACCTGTTCTGAAATACAATAAATTGATTGAAACAATTTTCAAGCCTATGCTTTTTATACATTAGTAGCTTGAAAAAGTAAAAATATTTTACAACGTCGAGATTTCATTTATTGCCAGTTCAGGTCGAACGAGCACACTCATAAAAGATCGTAAATCACCGTATTTTGGCATATATGATGAAGTACAGAGTGTAGACTTCTCAGGTTGAAAACTAAAATTTGTATACAGCCGTACTATTGTCCGCAGAATTAAGAGAAAGTATAGTCCGCTGCGTGTCTCTGCTGAATTATAAACGACCGTATACGGGAGAGTGACGAAGAAAAAACAGATTGGTATATCAATCGATATGGATTCACCCTGAAGTTCAATAAAATGCATTGGCACATCGATAAATATGAAAATATGAATCTTTCTAAAATGTATAATTTCGATAATTAATTTGATCAATATCTAACGTCATCTATTATTATTTATTTTTTTTCTATTGGTTAATAAACATTTTCAATAAAACCAATACACAACTAAGAATAGAAAAAAGAAAAAGAAAGCAATCAAGATACAACTAAATAGGTTTCCATCTTGTCGTCTTATGACCTTCTTATTCTATTTAATCAATGAAATAACATTGTTTTTTCGATATTATTCAGATGTTATTATTTGATATATTTATTTGAAATTAATCGATTTATTCAATCATGAGACGTTCAGCAGTAACAAATAATGATAATGATGATAATAACCAATCGTCAACAACAACAAATGAAATGAATCATCAACAACAAAAACGTTCATTAGAAGATTATGGTTTTCTAACAAATTTAAAACGGCGTCGTCATCTTTCACCACAAAATGCTAATATAGATGTGAATAATGATAATGAAACAATCTCATTACCATCTGTTAGAAAGAAAACAAGAACAAAATCTAAAAATCAATCTATTTTAAATTCATCAGTTGATGCAAATAATGAACTTAATTCCATTAATGATAATCAATCACCTCGTGTAAGTCATTTTAGTTCATATTTTCGGTGATATGAATCAATTCTTTCTTATTTAATAAACAAAAAAAAATGAATGTGTATGATCTTTCTACCGTAGAAAATCCTAGTATTTGTTAAGCAGATGTTTCATAGTGAAACTTTAAACTTGATGCTTCATCTTCTGTCATTATAAAAATATTAGAAGGTGGAACACCTGCTAAACGAATACCCTATGAATGGCTTTTTTTTATTGAAAAATTAGTCTTTTGCTCTTAAGTACAGGTTGAATTTTTGATATTTTTTTTTCATTTTGATGTTTTTTACTCTGTTCTGTTTTTCTGTATGAAATAAAAAAATATTTATTATGTATTAAGACTATGCTCACACAGAAGCTAAGACCGTCTATAATTAACTTTATTTTAAAAGACGACAATTATTAACAAATAGATGTGATGACTCATTTTATGTACACATGACACTTGTCTTATCTTGAGTTCTTCTTACTAACGATGATTCTCTATCAGAGAAATCTATACAACATATTAAGAATACAAACAATTCTGAGAAAGTTGATAAAAAATAAGATATTCATATTCATATAGAAGACAATAACATTGAATAACTTTCATTAAACATAAATATCGAGAACAACACTAGTGAACTTGGTCATTTGAGTGCTTGATAGACGTTCAAAATATTACTTGCCTTTATAAATCTATTGTCACCTATGTGAAATATATAAATTTAAAAAGAATTTTTTTGCCATCTTTTCATAAATCTATTTCCATAATATCATTATAGTCTATAGTATCCTTTAGGAAACTTTCAAATATGATGGTAAAATAATAAGAATTCGTTTCAGGAGAAATGATTAAGCAAATTATTCTTCAACCTCAACTTTGAGACAAAGGAACTAAAGTTGTTGAACGAATAAGTACTTCATATATTTATTGTCAACAGAAAAAGCTGTTTTTAACTAGAAAATGTTATCTTTAAATTAATAGTTGATTTCTAAAGGTTAGTTTGAATATCATTCTACTAGTAAGAGAGTGTTTAGTTTCATCTTTAGATAAAATCTCCATTACCTATAAGAAATTCTCTAGTCGAAAGGTTGCTTAATCTGTAAAAATTAAATCTCATGAAACAACCTTGAATTTTTAAAGACAAGACTAAATGACTCACAGAACATAGACAAACTTTGATATTATATATAGTTTAGAAAGATCTGTTTTGATGTTATGCATCCATACTATTAAATTAAATCTTCTCTTTATAACTATTCTTAACATATATTAAATAAAATATGTTGATAACACCAAATCATGATGTCATGTTTTCTAAAGTTGAACATGAAAATAGATGAAATACACACAACAGAAGCACAGCCATAACATACAGGAACTATTGCTGTTTATTTTTAGCTTATTTCTTGATTCATACGACTGCTTATTTTTTCTGTTACTTCCAATTATTTCGTAGAATGCATTAGAACCGGCTGTTTCATCCGTAGTCATAAATATATGCAAATCAAAATTGTCTTTGAGTCTTCATGCATCACTTATAATAATGGATAATATGCTAAGCGCACTACATACAATAGGCACTCAACACTGATCATACATCACACACAAAAATTGCTGAACATTATACTTCGCATTGTATCCTTGTCAATGGAAAGAAATATTTGAAGAATATTTTTAGCGAATTTTGATACGTTTATTATTATCTATGAAAAGTAAAACTCCATAGGGTTATCGATATTTATTAGAGTGTTGATAGGAGGAAAACAAAACTCAGAATGACTCAGCCTTTTCCCTAACACATGATCTGCTATTATGGCATCCCTACTCAATTCTATTCACTTCATAACGAAATTCTCGGTTTATTATTGTTTCACTTTCTATCAGAGAATGACAAATGGTATTTGAAAATCTATTTCCTATTCATAGTTATGACGAACTTGTAAAACATCAGCAGAAAGCCGGGCATTTTATGGAAGGGCCAAGGCCCCGACTCGCCGCTAATCCGAAATTCTAGTCTAGTTGAGAGCTGATAAACTATGAAAACAGGATTACACTTTCACGAAAACTGTAATTCAATCGATGGAAATTATTTTGAGATCTTAGAAAAAAACAAGGAGGTCAATTGGATTTATGATAAATTTTGAGAAGTACTATAAAATCTTCAATAAATATATCAATATTAATATGATATTGAACTTTTTATTTATTTAGAAATCTTCATCTCGTCATACATCTTCATTAATATCTCAACAAATGAATGAAATAATTCTACCTAATTGGGAACGTATATGTCCAAATGTGGATCAAATATTATCAAATAAACATACACAAGCAGGTGTATTTGCTCATGAAGTACAATTAGTTCAACAAGAACTCGAAGCACTTTTATCTATGTCAATAGTACGTGAAAAAATTTTTACAAATCTTTCAAATCCATCATTAAATAATTCGGATATATTACGTTCACAAATTCGTCAACATCAAGAAGCTGAACGTATGTATACATCAAAACAAACGCCAAAAAAATTATTACCACCATTAACTAAACATCATCATCATCAACGACAACATGGTCCACATTTATTACTTGATAGACAAGTTTCAATGGCACCAATTGTTGGTGCACGTATCGATCGTATATGGTCGGATATAAATACATATTTTCGTAAAATATCATCAAATGATGTTTTAACGATTGAAAATCTAGTCAAATTTAATTGTCATTTAGAAAATAAATTAGAACAATTAAAATCTGATTATAATAATCAATTAATAGATCAAACGAATATTATTGAACAATTAAACGAAGAAAATTATGAACAATTATTACAGATATCACAATTAAATCCATTAATTACACATTATGTTGATCGTACAACATTAGGAACATTTCAATCGAAATTATATGAACATATGGGACAAACATCACCTGTTTATAAAACTCCTATATCAAGTCCTATGCATGGAAGAATATTAGGCAATAATTGTGATGTAAAAGATAATTCAGCAGCATTACGTATTTCACCACGTTTACATCCAAATGAATATTCAAATAATAGAACAGGATTATTTTCTTTACCTAATGTAAGTCTATTATAGATAAATGATATCGTTTTGGAAGAAACAAAAAAAAATCTTAGCAATCCACCTATAGACTAGAGAGTGAAATCTTAATATAGAACAAGTTTTCATTGGCATTGACTTATGAGAAACTATCCTAATTAATTAATCACATTTCTATCGAAGATATGTACATCTTGTAGACTCTAATGAATAATAATTATCTTGAAAAGAGTTTAGATTCTTACCTTATTGCTACTGAGACTCTATATTTTTTTAATATGTAGTGCGCGTGGTTCCCCTTAGGAACACTAGGAAAAATGATTTTCCACTTGAAACTTGGCATAGAGAGAGAGCAGACCTTAATGAGAATAATTTCAGATTTTTTGAGTAACTGTTATTCTTAAATAAAAATATCAAATCTATCGATGGTTATATGAACAATCTAAAAGACATATTATTACTATAGGCATATTTTAGGATAAGAAAAACAAAATTCAAAAATTAGTTCTTCTGATGTTCCTAATAGAAGGACACAATGTTAAGTTAAATAATATCATAGCCATGAAATATCTAAATAATAATAACTAGACCTACTCTCAAGAAAAATATCGAACCATTTAAAGTTCGGCAGTGTCTATGAAACCTATTTTGAGATCTGTAGGATTTTCTAGTGTGCAGGATAGTTCCAGTTCATGAACTTAGATCAAATAAGCTAATAAACCGTTTCAACAGTTCAGCTCGGATTAAAGAACGATTTCAATTATAGGGACTGAGCTATTCGAGAAGTATTTCCATAGAAAAACAAAACTTTTTTCCAAATCGAAACTAAAACTAAACTTGTCTGTTCACAGTAATTAGTTAAAGATGCGAGACCACTTCGAAATATTCCTAGTACATTATGACCTATAAGATGTGCATTACAGTCCAGTAGAGTCAAACTCTTCGATTTCGACTGCGAGAATGTCTCTCAAATGTAACACCGATTTTATCAGAGTCCGATATTCGTAAATATACTATTTTTTATAAAAAAAAAGAATTTTAATTCTCTAATTCTTTGAAGCATTACTACTTCGAATCTAAATTTCATTGGCACTATTTCATGATCAAATCACGTATTCATTCTTTTATATTTCGATAACTAGTTAATCCCATATGAAATATCATCTTAAATACTACTTATCATAAACAAATATTTTAAGATTATATAAATTAATTATTCATATTCTCTGCTTTATAATACAAAGACATAATTCTTTTTTATTTTTTAGCTCAAAATTGAGGATGATCCTGAACTTGTCTCATCATCAGCATCATCATCAGCATTACTAAAATCTAAAAAGAAAAATAAACTTATATCTAGTCCATCATCAACAATTAAATTTCAACAACGTGTACAATTAGTACAAAATTATTTAATCGATCAACATCCATCAACAAATGATACAGTTAAAAGACAATTATTTAATGAAATAAAATCAACGAAAAAAAGAAAAACTTCAACATCGATTTCTTTGCCAACTACAATAAACAATAATGAACATTGTACAGATATATTTCAAACAAAACTATCAACATTAATATCTTTATTACATGAATGTTCATTATTAAGTTCATCAGCATTGAAACGTGCACATTTACAATCAGATAATGAGCAAGAATGGCAAAAATTAAATGCTACTGAACGTGATCTTGAAACTTTAATTGAAAAAATTGATACAATGAGTGGTAATCATAATAATTTAAATATAGAAAAAGCATTTGAAAATCTTGCACAATTATTAACTGAGTGGAATAAATATGAAGAAGAATTTGATCAACAATTAGAAGAATTATTTATTATCGATCAATAGGATAAGCCCGGTTTTCTTCTTTTTTTCCTGTTTGATTTTGTTTTTGTATTCTTCTTCATTCTTTTGTCTGTTTGTTTGTTTGTATTCGTGGGATTTTTTTTCTTGTCTTGACTCAGATATGTATAGCCAACAATGAGAAAAAAAAAAGAAATTCTTATACTGTATGTTATTTTTTTGTCTGTACACCTATTTCATTTCATCATTCGTTCGAGTAATGAAAATTTCGACATTTTTTTGCAATACGTGAAAGGAAGTAAATTTTTAAAATGTTAGATGGGAAAAGCCTGTTTGTTTTTCGTTTTGAGAAAAATAAACGAGCTAGTGAAGTTTAATATTGACAAATTTAGATTTCTTTGACAAGAAAAACTGTTTTTTTTTTTTTTCTAATGCGTTAAAATGTCGATTTTTTCATTGCTTGCGGCTTGGATAGTTGTGTTGAATTGAAAGGTTTATAAAAACAACTTTCTCTCTCTTCTAAACTTTTTTTTTCTTGTCAATAATTTCTTAATTGATTACAACAGAAAGAAAAACACAACAAAACAAAACGTATCCTTTGCCAAAAGATCTGTCATATAAAAAACACATCGATGTCGTTTTTTTTTTCTTCTTTTCTGTTTAAGATTCCATTATCATTCATTTGAATTCCGTTCATAGTCGAGAAGCAGTATGTCAACTACTGCTTCTCGTTATGCGGATTATAGTTCGGCATGTCCACGCTGTCAACAAATCATAAATACAATTGATATTACATTTCAACAAGGTATATTTATTTATGATTTAACATTTATTCAACAAGAACTTGAATCTGTACTTGTTGCTGCTTTACAACGACAAAAGCAACTTTTACAATCCGATGGAGAAAATTTAACATTACCATTATCATCCATGATACAATTAACAAATGGTAAAAAACCACGTGATTTTAAAGCTGAACGTGAACGTAAACGTAAAGCATTTAGTGGACAAATATCACGAAAAAGACGTCGAAGAAAAAAACCATCAAATATACATTTATTAAAACCAATTAAACGTGAACGTAATCAAAATAATCTTTTAACAATAAAACAAAATTTTTTACATAGAAAATCAAATGAAAATTCAACACGTCCAATACGTTCATATCGTCCAATAAATTTTACATATCCATTTTATTATGAAACAAATTATCGTAATACTAATCATAATATATCAACAAATAAATTACAATTAAATAATATGTCATATCCAGATCAATTTTGGATTAAAATTATAACACATCAACATGAATTCATTAAAAATGATGATTGGAATTATATTGAAAAATTAATTAATATTGATCAATCATTATTTAATAATATAAATGATGAAAAAATTTATAATCAATATAAAGAAATAATTAATTCAAATGAATATCTTTTAACAAAAGATAAATATTTACATCCAGAATTAGAATATTCAATTGTATTAAAACAAAATTTACATTTATATAATTTAGTTGAAAATATATTAAATAATAATCAACATAAATTTAATTCAACATTAAATAATCATCGATTAAAACGAAAATATTCTTCAATATCAAATAATCATAATTCAATAGATATTGATGATTCGATATTAAATTTCCTTCGACGTGATAATAAGTAAGATATTTTAGAACAATTTCAATCATAGAAAATCAAAAAATCTCATAATATTATTCGTTCGTAATTTCAGTTTACCCTTCGTCATTATCATAGGGTTCAAGTGAATTCATTTTACACTTTTTCGTCTAGTACTACATCTTAATCTCCGTACTGGAAATCACAAGCAGCTCTAACGATGGAACATATGCAAGTGTAAAAAATCTTTTGAGTTCAGACTCTGTGCATAAGGTAGACCCCAGTGAGCTATGAAAAACCCTAAAAGGATAAAGGCTGTTAGGTCTTCTGTCCAGAGTTACAGGTATTTTACTGGAATTTTAGCCTATGGCATGATATA